TATCAGCTGAACTACATAAAGAAACCTTTGCTAAAAGGACTCTGTGAGTTACAATACTAAAACAAAAATAATTACATTAGGATTAAAGGGTTGGTTTAGGAGCAAAGCTATAATTTTAATAAAAACCCAGCAAATTGTAGACTTACACATTGCATCAAACATGTATGGGTACATGTAAATTCACTTCAAAAATAATAAAAAAATAAATTAAAAAAAGTGTAGCTGTACTGAAACATTCCTTTAGTCATGACAGAAGAACTTACATGCTTTGTCACCAGCACAGTATTTTTAAGTGGCATGATAATTCATATGCATAAAATAATCCTACAGGCAGTTTTTAATATTCAATCCCTTACACAGCATTCTGAAAATTTAAAAGTTCAAAAAATAAAAACCTTTATTAGATTATTGATATTACCTGACTGACGTGTCCATACAAATCTAGCTATCCAGGGCCGGACTGGGAAAAAAATTCGGCCTGGGCATTTCTCAATCACAGCGGCCCCCTGAGAAGGGAGCGGGGCCAGAGAGGGTGTGTTTTGTCATCACTAATGACAAGCACGCCCCCTCTCAAAGTGAGCATGTTAGTTTAATGCGCAGAGCCCTGCTGAAGAGCTCCAGCATGAGAAAAAGACCCTGTATTTGTTCTGCGTAGGGCTGTGTTTGCTTTTAACTTGTCTCTGGTATCTCAGTAAGTGGGAAACCAGAGGACAAAAGGGTCAGGAAAGCGTATTGTGCTAGGGGCTGTAGAAAGTGTGTGTATATGGGGCATAGGTTGTATTGGGGATGTAGCGAGTGTGTGCATAATGGCTGTAGTGTGTGTACCACTGTTCACTATTATTTTTGCAACACACATATATATATACACAATCCAATGCACTCACTCATTCTCTAAACAGCAATTTCAAGTCTCACAGCTTGTAATAGTTTTATTTAAAAACACCTCACCTAGGCAAAAAATAATGGGGGTTTAGTTACTCTATATGATCATACATTGCATAAGCCTGCCACAACATCAATGTAACCCATTCTCGGCAGGTCCTACTCTAGCAGCCTAATGCCTGCTCTTCTGTGATTAATCCACTTACTTGGGAAATTCTTCCTCCTGGGACTCTCTGCAGGTCAATGCTAAATAGGGCCCTTGACAGGGAGGCGTGCAAAACCAAGATGTTGGCCTGTACTCCCATATATATATATATATATATATATATAAATAAATGAAACCAAGGATGGCTAGGGCTGCACTCACCTGAACTTGCATATAGTATAGGGTGCTGCTGGGGCCAATTTATACAACATACAAAATACACAATCCAGCACCCTCGCTCATTCACTAAACAGCGATTTCAAGCCTCACAGATTGTAATAGTTTTATTTAAAAACACCTCCGATAGGAAAAAATAATGGGGAGTTTAGTTACAGTATATGAGCATACATTGCATAAGCCTGTCACATTGTCAATGTACAGCCATCTTGGCAGGTCCTACTCTAGCAGCCTAATGCCTGCTCTTATGAGATTAATCCTCTTACTTGGGAAATTCTTCCTCCTGGGACTCTCTGCAGGTCAAGGATATATATATATTTATGGTCAGGGACAATAAGCCGAGTTATGTTAGTGGTGCACAACTCAGTTGTGGTGTGCCAAAACAACATTCGGGGGGGCGTGGCTAACCACGGAGCAAGATGGTAGCATGAAAACTTGCTCCGGCAACAGGGCACCCAATCCAGCATAATCCTACCGCCTAAAGCTGCATCCAACAACATAGATCGACAATGTCCCACCACAAAAGTAAGAGGAGCTCGGTGAAGCCGGATAAGCTAAATTTTTTTAGCCAGAAACAAACTTCTGTGGCCCTGGCTACGCAGGCCTCAAAAGCAGCCGAGGATCCTGAATCGGATGACGGCACGCATGATACCGACTCGGAGGCAAAATTAGACACAACACAAATCACTAAAGCCGACCTCACAGCAGCCCTGGAGGTTTTATCTGCTAAACTAATCACCACATGGCAACACACAGCAGACTCCTTACGGAAGGACATCCAGGAGCTGGGGAAATGGACGACGCACATGGAGGATAAATGTGACGAATTTGCCACGGCGCACAACGATCTGGCCACGAACGTTGAACGCATAGCAGCAAAGATTACCATTATGGAAGAAAAAATGGCGGATATGGAGGACCGGTCCCGCCGGAATAATCTACGCTTGCGGGGAGTCCCTGAGGATGTTACTAATGATGACCTGCCAGCTTATGTCAGGAACCTCTTGCACGCCCATGCACCGGAGATACCCACAGATATGTTGCTGGTAGATCGGGCTCACCGCATCCCGAAACCCCGTCATCTCCCACAAACGGTACCGCGAGACATTCTATTACGGGCACACTATTTCCACATAAAGGAACACATCCTCCGGAGCAGCAGACTGAGAGCTAAGCCGCTGGCTGACTACCCAACGGTCAAAATCTATGCGGATCTATCGGCCGCAACACTACGGAAAAGGAAAGACTTCCACCAAGTTACCAGCACGTTGAGGTCCCACGGCATACGGTACAGGTGGGGATTCCCCACAAAATTGATCGTCACGCAAAATGGAGACACAGTGGTGATACACTCCCCTGACGACGGCCTGAAGAAACTCCAAGCCTGGAACCTGCCGGTGGAGCCGACTATCCCGCACACAAGACAGGCGGGCACTCTCAAACCGGACTGGGAAAAAGCCCACGGGAAACACTGAAACCAGACGGTATCTGGTACGCAGGCGAAAGCCCCTTTGGATATACAACACCCAAATAATGTCCACGGATATACACCCTGAAGTGCCTCCCTTCAATATGGAGAACTTGGAACATACAATACAAGCTGGACAGGAACCGGTAATTTGGGATCCCGAGGAATAGGTGACTCTGGATCGGGGCCTCCCGCTGACCCTGTGACGAAGCGTGCGCAGAGCAGTGGATTCATGCGGGGGTCCCCGGTCTGGACCAATACCCTGAGGTGGCGGGCCTTTTTCCCCCCATCTTGCCCCTCACTTCCCCCCAAATCCGTGTGAGCAGCGACCGGGGCGGCCCCCAACTCAGATGCGGTAAGACAGTTTATTTGGGGGATGGAAAGCATGACACATCGACCTGAGGCCTAAGGTGGACCATGGAACTTTGGAGCTGCCGAGACAGGTTGCAGAACTAAAAGCGTTACACGCTCCCACTAACAGGTCTAATGGGGCAATGGGGACGCTGGGGCCCGTGTGGGGAATGTGGTGATTCCTGGGGAATGTTTCTTGGTTGCTGGAGTGGGGGGGCGGGAGATGGGCGGGGGGGCCGGACGGCTAGCAATGTAAAATAGTTATTGCAGGTTATGGTTTTTGTACTTCAGAATGTATGTGCTATAGTAGACTGTTAATACACATGTACATAGGGCCCCTCTGTGCCAACACTAGCACTCACGACACACCTTTCAGCACATACGACCCACTCATCCAAAACAGATAGCACGTCAAAATGCACTCTCTAACTCAGACGAGGACGTCTGGCCCCGGCCGCTCTTAGCCTGTCGCGCCCACATCGGGATCACATCCAAGGGCCTTGATCGGTCCAAAGGCCTTGATTGGCCTAATCACTTACCAGAAGCAGCACACAAATACAAGTTACAAGGGTGCCCAAATAGCCACGTTAATGAAAGGATCTTTTCTTTCTTACCCCCCAGATGTGGTTCATCCACATAAATTCCTTGAAAGGAATACTTTGTACATAGTTTTTACACCTTCCCCTAGTTATCCTTCCCTCATCCCACACCTCCACGGTCGGCCACCAATTACAAATGGAACTAAAGCATCTCCAAACCCATACCACTACTTAATGGCGCACACTATGCAATGCTACGCCACAGTTACACTAGAGTCAACAGGCAAAACAGTCGCACAACACCCCCATTCCCAACGAGGGGACCACATCAGACAAGGGCAAGTGAGACTTAGACAGCTAAACAATATAACCCTCCTACAGTATGAGAATACAGACTATTAATGCACGTGGACTGAACACTCCACACAAAAGGAGACTCTTCATTGAGGACGCGAAGCTCGCTAAAGCAGATATCCTATGCGTCCAAGAAACTCACTTTGTACACAACAGAGTGCCCAGATTTGCAGACAGAGAATACCCCACACAATATCACTCGACGTACTCCTCTAAATCGAGAGGCGTCTCCCTCTTCATACACACCTCAATAGCATTCGAACTTCTACACCTCAAAAAAGACGCACAAGGCAGGTATCTTATACTACACGGTAAAATCAACGACACCCTATACACACTAGTGGGATTGTATGGACCAAACAATAACCAAAGAAACTTCCTACAGAAAGTATTGAATAAACTACCCAACACGCACAAAGCATCCACAATCATATGCGGGGACCTAAACCACATCATGCAACCCCGATTAGACACTACACTGTCGGACACAACACCTAGGAGCAAAACACTAGGTAAAGAGGCTATAGCACTCACAAGGCTCATCTCCGAGCACGGGCTTTACGATATCTGGAGGACACCCGAACGAACGGGAATTTACATTTTACTCATCCGTACATAAAACATACACCAGAATTGACTTTATTCTAATTTCGGGCGACATGTTACCAATGGCAACGCATAGTGAGATAGGAAACATAATCTGGTCTGATCATGCCCAAGTACAACTTACCCTAAGGGACAAATTTCAGACCAGAGGGGCAACACTTTGGCGCCTAAACGACACTCTCCTACATAACCAAGAATTTAAAACCAAACTTAACGAAGAGATACTTTCGTTCTTTGCCTTAAACGAAACACCCGATGTCTCACTGGCCACAACATGGCAAACACATAAAGCAGTCATACGGGGCCTCCTGATTAGCCAAGCATCTCACCTGAACAGGCAAGCAAAGAAAGAGACCTTTTGAGATCACTTCGGGATGAAACGTCGGCACACATCATGCACCCATCTCCCTCCACACAGCAACGCATAGCTCAGCTTCAAGGAAAGCTGAATGACATACACCTGCACACCACAGCTACCATATCATATAGGTTGAAACTCAAAACATACACCCAGGGAAACAAGGCAGGGAAAGCAATGGCAGCACTTCTGCGACAGAAACGGCAAAATGCAAAAATCCCATTTATATTGAACGCTATAGGCAATAAAATGTATAGCCCACATGATATAAACAATGCGCTGGCAGACTACTATGACACTCCCGAAGGAAATAGATGAGTTTCTAATGAAAGTGCAGCTACCAAAATTATCGCAGGCAGATCAGACTCTATTAGAAGATCCCATTACCCAAAATGAAATTGCACGCACTATCAAAGCCCTCCCAAAAGGGAAGTCACCAGGTCCAGACGGCTTCACAAACCTATACTACAAAATCTTCTCTCACATTCTCACCCTCAAACTAGAAAAACTATACAACAATATCCTCACGACAGGCACTATACCAAGTGAAATGCTGCTGGCCCACATAACCACACTGCCAAAACCGGGGAAACCTCCAACTAAATGCCAGAATCTGCGTCCTATATCGCTACTAAACACTGATTTAAAAATATTAGCAAAAATTTACGCAAACAGGCCAGGAAACATATTACCAACACTGATTCGAGATGACCAAGTGGGGTTTGTCCGGGGCAGGCAAGGCTCAGATGGGACCAGGAAACTGATCAACATCCTGCACAGGATCCAGAAAACCGAGACCCCTAGTGTGGCACTGTCACTAGATGCTGAGAAGGCGTTTGACAGGCTGCACTGGGGATACCTGGAGGCTGTGCTGCGGAGGCTTGCGTTTCCCGAGTGCTTCATCACACTAGTCTCGGCACTATATGACAATCCGACAGCAAAAATAGCCAACGGCGGGTTTACCTCCAAACCCTTCCATATCTCAAATGGGTCCAGACAGGGCTGCCCACTTTCACCCTTACTATATATACTAGCACTAGAACCCCTGGCCCAACACATTAGGGAGTCACATGATGTCCATGGAATACAAATAGGGGGAGAAATACACAAAATTACCCTGTTTGCTGACGATGTAATGCTCACATTGTCTAAACCTGACATCTCTCTGCCACGGCTTCAAACTATACTGACAAACTTTAGCAATTGCTCATACTACAAGCTCAATATTACCAAGACACAAGCCATGGGCCTCAACATTCCTAAAGCACAACTTACCCACCTACAAAGCATACACACATACGATTGGCGAACCGACCATTTAACCTTCCTAGGTATAGATCTCACACCCAAGACGCAAAAGTTGTATAAAGCGAACTACTTAAAACTCCTTAGCGCAATTAAACAACAACTACACAGCTGGAAAGGGAAATACATCTCATGGCCAGGCAGAATAGCGGCAGTTAAAATGATGGTACTACCAAGACTACAGTACCTATTCAGAACACTTCAAATACAGCTACCACGCCAGTTCCTTAAAGACGCACAACACTCTCTAAATCAATTCATATGGGATGGGAAGTGACCTAGAACGGCGGCCGACACCATGTATAGGCCCTTCAAGGAGGGAGGAATGGGGGCTCCTGATATCGCAAACTATTACACGGCTGCCATGATGAGCACACTCATATCCGCCTTCCACTACACAATACCACCAAAATGGAGTCATATGGAAACCGCAAACACGGGCGGACTCTCGATGTCCACCCTAACTTGGATACCTAGGCATCTGAGACCAAAATACACGGATATATGCCCAACACGGGGGCAACACTCCTCCTATGGGACAAGTACACCAAGACACACTATCACACCTCATACATATCCCCAGCACTACAAATTCCAGCATTCCAACTCCTCATTCCGGGGTTCGATCATGGCCTATGGAGTAAACATGGAGCCACACGCCTATCACACTTAATGAGGGATGGCCGCCTATTGGACTTTAGTTCTCTAACCAAACAGTATAACCTACCTCCCAAAGCCTATTTCTCATACTTACAATTGCACTCATGGGCGAGGAAAAATATAGGTCTAGAAGCTGTACAAACGCAATTACAGACACTGACTGAGATAGAAAAAGTATGTATGGCCCCAAAACCGCCACAGAAATTGCTGTCACTCCTGTATAAACTGACCAAAAAACAAGCCCAACCACAGAAACTAAGTTTCATGACGGCATGGGAAAAAGATCTAAACCTGATTATACCCAACGACGTATGGTCAAAAATACTGATAGCACACAAAAACCTCACGCTAAATACATCCCATATTGAGACCAGCAGGAAAGTGCTATATTGCTGGTACATGGTACCCACCAGGCTGAGGAAAATGGATCCAAAAAAGTCAGGGTCATGCTGGAGATGCTTGCGGGAACCAGGGTCAATGCTCCACATTTGGTGGACCTGCCCAGAAATTAAGCCCTTTTGGGAAAGGGTTTCGAATATCATAACCAAATCCACTGGCAATACCCTGCCACACTCTCCAGAAACATATTTACTGCTAGCCCTGCCACACAAGCTCTCAAAGGCTGACATGTACCTAACATACCACATTATTATCGCAGCACTAATGGCTATAAGCAAGACCTGGTTGAGCACACACCCACCTAGCATTCAACGATGCCTAGATATGATAGACACTACCCAAGGGTATGAGATAGAAGCTAGGCGATTGAGGCCGACAAACAAAGTCTGGCAAACAGCGTGGCAAACATGGATAACATGGCGACAAAATGCCACACATGATGGTAGTCATACCACCAGTTAATATTTGGAAATACTTCCCGACGTTCCGAACCGACCTTCCCCCCCCCACCTACCTCCCCCATCCACTCCCCCCCCTACAATAATATGGTGATACCTAGTTGCAAGACTGGGTTAGTTGTCAATAGCACCGGTGCAGATGCAGGTCACTACGTTAAAATGTTATGATACTTAGATGTTGTAATTGGCCTCTCCGACAAGATGTTGGGGATCCCAAACGCTAGGCGAAGTGTGGAACACTTCCTAAAGGTATATAAAGTGAAATGTAATTGATATTCTGCAACTGTACAACTGTGTGCATCTGTTACTACTACTCTAAACTCAATAAAAAATACTATACAAAAAAAAAAAAAACAACAACATTCGGTTAGGTCTGTAAAAAGAGGGCAAAAGGTTAATAGTTTAACACTTTAATACATGTCTACATTACGCTATCAATACTTTACATTTTATCAGCATTAATAACCATACCTGAAAGAGAAAATTGGTTAGTAGGAGATACTCCATAACACCAAGATACTGGCTGACCTATGTTATGCCAAGTGGTGAAACAATTAAGCTAAATTGGTGACTTGGGAACCTAACTAGTTGCCAAGTGGTGATGAGAGGCTCTACATATGATCTGGCCCATTGGGTATGTTTGCCACCGAGCATTGTGGCGGGGTGTTGGCCTCTCGGTGAGGATTAAAGAGATTCAAAATCAGTTGGCCGTAACAGGTGAGGCCCTAACTGCTTTGCCAAGAGGGCGTGAGATGCGAGGCAGTAACTATGATTTGGCCCGAGGGGCGATTACCTCCATAGTTGAGCATGGGAGTTGGCCTCGCGGGACAGCTATATAATGGCACAAGATGCCGAAAACTACTTATGGCCAATTAGGGTACCCTAACAGCCAGACCAAGCTAAAGATAAGTTTTGTAGAGCGAATGGTTGTTGTAAGAAGGGAAGTAGTATCGTAAAGCAAGTCACTTACGTGGTGACTTAGAAAACATAAATGCAAAAGAATAAATGTGGCATGATAAGACATACACCTGGCAGATAAATATTTTAATATCTGTTACCAAACTAACAAAGGTAATTGAACAGTGTGATAAATGTTGACTATACGTGCAAAAGTACCCCCAGATATGCAATGGTCGGCATAAAGTATACCTGGTGAGACTTTACATTATGATATAGGTCATGAAGGAGTTGGCCAGAATAATTGAACAACAAGATCCCTGTGAAGTATATGTCAGGAGGTGAGGGTACGGTTCCCAAATTATCAAGTTGAGGATAACCAGCCACAAGTGGCATAGTGACAGAAATGCATAATATAAAACATAACAGTGCAGACATGTGGATTAACTGAAAATTAACAGTTTTCATGAAAAGCTGGTACCCGATACCTGATTGTACCAAATTTAGGCATGAATTTCCTCAGCACATCCTTCCACTAGAAGGACCTGAAGTGTGTATGAGAAAAGAACACCCTGAAAAAACCCTAACCATCACATTAATCAAATCCCATAGCGTGCTGCAGAAAGTGAAATACCAGAACTAGCAAGTGCCTTAAGGTGGAGGTACTAAACCGTTAAAATAGTGACAGACCAAAGAAGCCTGGATATGTTAAATGCATAGTGATAGGTACCAGGTTCTCGGGTGTGTGCCGAGAGAGGGAAAAGACTTGCATGGGCCTAACGAGGCCATGTGTAATATTGGAAAGTAGTATGAAAGGTTCTATTTCTTTGACCCTCGTATATTAGGAAATTGACGTATGTAATTGCCCAAATGAGGGGCCGAAATTGACTTATGTAATTGCCCAAATGAGGGGCTGAAATTGCCATAGTGCCCGTAGAGGGCCATGTGTAAACGTATGGAGTGAAGGCTTAGTGAGGGCCATGTCTAGAGGTATTGAGGTGGAAGGCCGAGTGCTAGATGTTAGTCCTGAGCTGCTGGATGGAGAAATAGGGCTGTATGAGGGGTACGGATGTATGGAATGAACAAAAGAAGGATAAGCACACCAAGGTGCAGGTGTTGTGAAATTGCCAATAGTGAATACCTAGTTTTTGGTCCAGTCCATTTGTAAAGGTAGAATTATTAGTTAGTCTAGAAGGATAGTAATATGGCATACGGTGGAGGCCGACTATAAGGGTCATGCCAAAGGATGACAAGTATACAACCAACACAATAAATTATATGGTGTCTCAATGTAGTTGACTTGAGACATAACATTGCTAATACTGTGAAAGAACAAAGTGAGAGTATGTGAAGTAAGGATACAATGTATAGGATAAGTAATTAACATATCATGGAGTTTTGCAGGCAGAGTTAGGTCTGTATAGGTAGTATAGCGAGTATAAGTGGTGTAATGAAATGTTGTAAGAAAGAGTGGTGTATACATATAACCCCCATGCAGTGAAAGATACTTTTGCATATCGGTCATATTGGGCTGCCCACATATGATGGGAATGAAATGAAGGCCTAGTACAGCCCTGTGTGAAGGCATTGGACCTAAAA